TCCATGTTTAATTGTTCTGAGAGGGACAAATGCCCAGCACAATGCAGCTATCAGGGCCGAATAGCAAACCCATCTGAATAAAGACAAAAAACCAGTTCAAACAGTCAGAATGCAAGCAAGAACTGAACCACAAAAGAAAGGAAGCAGGCCACATACACTGCATGTTAGAAGTATCAGAATGCACCTCTTCATCACTGGATTCAGGTCTTTCATTCAGACCCACTGTCATAGGAATTGCAATAAGTATAAGTGGTCTTATTGCAAAGTGGAAGTGTTTAGGAACAATAGAAACTCCGCCACAAAGTGGGAGACCACACAAAGCAACAGAGTGGGGTTGCCGAGTGCATAGTGCATAAAAGTCACCAACACTCTGATTATTCAGTAACTCTAGAGTTCCAAGCTTCCTCTGGCATTAACCCCAGCACACAAACTGTGTTGGGAGCTTCATGGAATGAGCTTCCATGGCCGAGCAGCTGCATGCAAGTCTCACATCACCAAGTGCAGTGCCAAATTTAGGATGGAGTGGTATAAAGCACACTGTCACTGGGCTCTCGAGCAGTGGAAACATGTTATGTGGTGTGTTGAATTACGCTTCTCTGTCTGGCAGTCTGATGGACGAGTCTGGGTTTGCCAGATGCCAGGAGAACCTGCCTGACTGCATTGTGCCAAGTGTAAAACTTGGCAGAGGAAGTATAATGGTATGGGGTTGTTTTTCAGGGGTTGGGCTGGGCCCCTTTCGGTCCAGTGAAAGGAAAGCTTAATGCTTTGGCATACTGAGACGTTTTGGACAATTCTGCCTCCACCTTTTGTGGGAACAGTTTGGGGAAGAGCCCTTTTCTGTTCCAGCATGACTGTATCCCAGTGCACAAAGCAAGGTCCATAAGGCAATGGTTGGGTGAGTTTTGTTTGGAAGAACTTCACTGGCCCACACAGTACCCTGACCTCAACCCCACTGAACACCTTTGGGATGAACTAGAACCGAGATTGCAAGTCAGACCTTCACATCTAACATCAGGGCCTGACTTCACAAATGCTGTTTTGAATGCATGGGCAAAAAATCCCGCTGACACAAAATCTTGTGGAAAGCCTTCCCAGAAGTGTGGCAGCTGTTATAGCTGCAGAGGGGGGACCAACTCCATGTTGATGCCTATGAATTTAGAATGGGACGTCATAAAAGTTCCTGTAGGTGAAATGGCCAGGTGTACCAATACTTTTGTCCATACAGTGTACCTCACAAAGATCTTTCTTCAGGGACGTCCCTTGTATCCTCTTAGTTTAATCAAGGAAATTGCAACAGGTGTGATTCCTCTGCAGTTGAGGTGGAATGTGGCCCAGCTGGGCATGAATGCCAGGGCCGATGACTGGAGCTGTTTTTCATATTTTGCTTCCTGTTACGCTACATCACTGTCGAATTCTCGCATCTGAAGGGTGTCGATTAATTTTCTTTAACCGCACATGTAGTGTTGACCAGGTAAACCACACCAGTAAATCAATGCGTGATTATAATCTTTAATTATTAATGTAAAGTACAAAAACAAATCATTTATAGGGACTTGTTGTCCCCTTCCTGTAGCAACACTAGGACGTCACCCTATTTCAGCACCATAATGCTCATCCTCATGCAGCTCAGCTCACACAAGAGCGTCTGTAGCAACAGAACATCCAAACAATGACTTGGGGCCCATTCTCACCGGGCCTGAATCCTATTGGCCTGTTGGGGATGTTATAGGCCGTCCCATATCCTCCACGGAACCATGTCCCCCTAGCACACAGATATTGGTACACGCACTAGTGGAAGAGTGGGAGAGGATGCCCCAGGCTGTCCTAGGTAACCTTACACAGAGTTTGAGATCAAGATGCACTGCTTGCATAGCTGCACATGGAGGTCATACCAAATACTGAGGACAGAAGCAGGGCTGCCAACTCACGCCTTGCCCTTGCCTGCTTTCCTGCACGAGTCGTGACAGAATGACCAGACTCGCGAAGACTATGTGAAGAGGAATACCTCGACATTACAGATGAGCTACTTTATTGGCTGAATCAGCCCAAAGTCTGGGATGATCCCATACTGCGGGCTATAGCCAACCGGAGTAGGGACATTCTGGAGGAGATGTCTCTGCCCGGGGACGCACGCCTTGCAGGAGAGGTGCGCTGAGACGTGGGGTGGCAGAATCTAACATGTGCCGAGTTGCTATGGACAGCGACTATTCTACAGTCTGCTGTCTGAGCTGCCTGAGGTACCCCCGACTCCTCTGAAAGCGGCAGCAAAGGAGAAAAAGCGGGAAAGCAGAAGACGGGAAGAGAAGCCGGAGCTCTTCTTAGGGGCCGTCGCTATTACTGCTGCCTGCCATACTGTGTGTCGGGAGGAAGCCCTCCCAATTCTAGATCCGGTGGTGTTCGGGCATGCTGCCATCGCCCTGCCTGAACGGACACCCGAAGCCCATCCGCCTGCCGCTCCGCTGCCAGCGTTGGCAGCGTGCCTGTTTTTTGAAAAGGGGCCAGGTCCATTGGGGATGCCATCCCGCGGGTCCCCAAGTTCCTTAAATGGGCAGTGCCCCCAGTGGTTCCTCTTGTGCCTGCAGATTTGCCCCCAGTGGTTCCTCATGTGCCTGCAGCGCCTCCTGCTTCGTTGGCCCCAGAGGTCTCCGCACTGCCCCCTGCTGGTGCTGAGTCGGCTGTGCCTGCAGCGCCCCCTGCTTCATCGTCCCCAGAGGTCCCCGCTATGCCTCCTGCTTCGTCGCCCCCCGTGGTTCCTGTGCCAGTGACGCCCGAGACGCCGCCCGAGGCCCCGGACTGCCAGACTGACGCTCCTCCCTCCATAGTGGAGTCTGAGGAGGAGCTGGAGTGGGACCCCTCGGGGATCTCCCTGACCTTCCCCGTGCCCCTTCCTGTGACTTCTCCCATGCTTCTCCCGGTGACTTCCCCCATGACCACCCCAGTGACGACTTCACTGTCACCCCAGTGTAACAGACCCCAGCCGGGTCCCTGCCTCTCAGTCTCCCGGAAGGGGAGGGGACACCTGCGCCGGGGCCAGGTCCTGTCTGCCCTACCCCCCGACTAGCCTGCGGGTCCCCTGTCTCCGACTCATCGGTCGCCTACGCCTTGGCTGGTGGCAGCTGCTCCCTCCTCCCCTTCGCCTGTGTCCCCTTCCTCCTTGCCCCCTCTGTCTGTCCCTTCGCCTTCCTCCTCCTCACATTCAGCCTTCCCTCCTGCTCCCTCCTCGCGCTCGCCGAGGGTCCCTCCGCGTCCGGCCTCTGCCCCTGCGGCTTCCACCCCTCCCCTGCCGGGGTTCTCTCCGGCTCCCCGTTTCCCCCTGCCCTTTGCCTCCTTGCCCCCTGCCTTTGTGCCCCCTGTGTTTGCCCCCTGTCCCTTTGTGCCCTCCGTGCCTGCTCCTCGTCCTTCTGTTTCTCCTCACGTATAAGTAAAATATTAAACCTTGCCGGTATCTAATTTTTAATACCGTTTAACCTTTACACCGCAATGTATGGTGTTTCGATGGTAGTTTAACAAGCTATTCCAATATTTTGAAAGCTTGCCGTTAAAATTCACCAAGCGGTGAAAGGAAATACTGTATCTCGTTTTTAGTTTGTAAACATGAAAATCAGGGTTGGCAACTTTGGTCAGCTGGTCTGCACACGCATTTACATCTATGTATCAGTTTTATTACCTTGTAAATAGGTCTGTAGGGTTTGCAAACTACACCAACTCTTTTGATGTAGCTAATTTTAGGCTTATAATGGAATAATATAAATTTGGCGTAAGATTTCTTGCGTGAAAGTCTGAAAATGTCAGTGTCACGGCAGATGCGTGAGAGTTGGCAACCCTGGTGAAAATAATGTCTTGAAGTTCAAATGTGTAAAACAAATGTGTGGTAATCATGGCATAGAAGAATTTGACCTACATTACTGTTCCCATAATATCAATGTTTACCGGGCCATTTTTTTTGGTCAAAAAATGAGGAATTGCAAGAGTGACACACTATTGATTGTGAATCTCAATAGCAAGAACACAAATACCATACTTTTGACTTCCAAGCACGTGAGAACGACATCTGGGGATTTTTACCGTCCTCTGTACTTCTGTTCTTGAGCATTGGAACTGGTCTTTGCCAATGGAAGATGACGTCAAACCATTACACAAGAACACAAGTATGGTGAAGTATGAATATTGACAGTCACCCCTAATCTTTTTGATAACTTAGAAATCTCAAGCAATTTTTACAGTGGCCCGTAAGAGTCAACAAGCGTAACCACCTCCGGTTCTTATAATGTGATATAACAACACGTAATGCACAGCTTGTTGTGAATTAACCCTTACTTGTTTTTTTTTTAGACCATCTCTAAAAAAGCAAAAGTTTTGTCAGTATGCTGGTCTGGAGCAGTCAGGTGTGTGTTACTACAATGCTAAGGAGGAAAGACATCAGCAATGATCTCAGAGAAGCAATCAATCTTGGAAGGGTTAAAAGGCCATTTCCAAACAATCTGAAGTCCATCGTTTTACAGTGAGAAAGATTATTCACAAGTGGAAACATTCAAGACAGTCGCCAGTCTTCGCAGGAGCGGACGTCCCTGCAGATTCACCCCAAGGTCAGACTGCGATGCTCAGAGAAATTGCAAAAAACCTAAGAGCTACATCTCATACTCTACAGGCCTACAGGGGCGTGGCATACAGGAGGATCGGACGAGCAGGTCATGGCAGAACCCCCCCCCCTAAAGGCACGCACTCTGGGCGCGCCTCAGGGGAGGTGACAGAGGAGATGAGACTGGGGACACGGGACCTGAAAAACAAGAGTAAAAACATCAACGAGGGACTGGGAACAGAACAGAAACACAGAACAAGCACAGGGGCAACAGCCAAGACAACACCTGACATAAGACGGGAAACACAGACAGGCAGACCAGGAAGGGAGACACAGGGGGAACACCAACAGGCGGAATGAAAGGGCCAGGAGTGAACGCATGAGGTACAGAGGGATGAGCAGCAGAGACAGAAGGGACCAGGGGGGAACAGGCAGGAGGACAGAACACCAAAGGACAGCGGACAACGGGGAGCCCAAGGGAACCCCGGCGGACGAGGGAAGGCAGCCGCAGGGGCCACAGGCGGACGGGAGGATGGAGCCGGAGGGGACCACACAGGGGACGAGGAGACAGGCCGAGGGACAGACGGAGGAAACGAGGAGGAAGATGGAGGCGGCACCGGGAGAGGTGAAGAGGAAGGCAGAGGGGACCCTGGCATAGGCGAGGAGGAGGGAGAAGACGCCGCAGACGACAGCGCAGCCAAAGCCGGGGAAGGCGCCGTCCGACGCTGAGCCGCAGTGGGGGGACCTGCAGGCGACCGAGTCGTCAAGGCAGGGGGACCCAGAGGCGGCCGACGAGGCATCGGATGGAGGGACCGCAGGTGGACGACGAGCCCCTTGAGGGGGACCTGCAGGCAACATCCGGACTGGAGCCGAAGGACCCACAGGCTGCCGCCGAGCCACAGCCCGGGAGAACGAGAGCGAGCCAGGGGGCAGGCCGGGCGGGACCTGGTCCCTGCGCCTATGTCCTCTTTCCTTCCGGGTCACAGACAGTCGGGGACCCGGTTGGGCTCCACCATGGTGGGGTGATGGTGGAGGAGTCCGTTCACCACACAGTCAGGGACCTCCTTGGGGACAGGGATTTCCGGCGTAGGCGGAGCCAGGGCCTCTGGCACAGCAGTGGGCAGAGCCCTAGGCTTCCTCAGGCGTCGGCGCAGCTGCAGGTGACGCAGCAGGAGCCTTGGGTGCAGGCGTCACAGCAGGCAGAGACGGAGCCGCAGCAGGAGCTTCCGGCGGTGCAGCAACCGCCGACTCCGGGCCAGCAGGGGGCCCCGGGCCAGCCAGAGGGACAAGCGGAACAGGCAGACCAAGCGGGACAGGCACAGCGGGACAGGCACGTCAAGCAGGTCAGGAACATCAGGGGTGAGGCCCCGCAGGGGGCTGAACATCGATAGCCAGGACAGGAACTGCTAAAGACAGACCCAGGGGTTGCATCCCGGCAGCAGGTGTTCCCCTTTTAAAGCCCTGTGGGACCCGTGGGATGGCATCCCAAACCGACCTGGCCCCTTTAAAATGCAGGCGTGCTTCCCAGAAAGGGGTAGGCTGCTAGCAGTGGCAGCTCAGTGGCCTTAATGTGGGCTTTAGGTACCTCAGTCCACGACGCGGCTAAGGCGACATCCAGGGGGAACACCACTGGGTGTCGAATCAAGAGGGCGTCCTCCGGATATTCAGCGGGGGAAGAAGCAGCGATGGAGACGGACCCCAGAAAGATGGTGGACTCTCCTTCTGGTCTTCTCTCTTTCCGCTTCTTCCTTTTCTTCCGGGTCGTTTGGGGCGGCGAAGCTACTACATTGTACATGTAGTAATCCAACTTAACCTGACCAGATGCGTGACGTGACTATTAGTAATCCCGACTATGTACGTATCTGCGCTGGGTATCACCGGCACACCGCGCACCTTGTAGGCGGAGCCTGCATGTCCGTTATAACCGAACAAAACTACAGCTAAAACCGGCACTGGGGACCAAATTGTTTGTCCGTTATAAGTGAAATTCCGTTATATGTGAGTCCGCTATATCCAATGGTTTTTCTGCCTGTTCTTAAAGGCGCGCGGCCGGGACCAGCGGACCTCGTCCGTTATAGACGATATTCCATTATAAGCGAGTCTACTATAATGGGATACTGTATATCATCTTTATGTCAAATTATTACGTATGTAGATGCTTAAATTCTTACACGTTACTGAAACATGAACCAAATCTGACATCCAAAGAGAGCTTGGTCTGCTGCTCCATCACATTGGGGTTTTATATTGCAAAGCCACTAGTTTCTGTTACTTAACTCTATGCATGTGGGCGGCTGTATTACATTACCACAGTGAAACAGTCAAAAGCGAATGCAAAAGCATGAAACAAACTAAGCGTATTATACATTTGGTATTATATTCTGCCCTTTTTGTGACAAATTTATTGCTGATGCAACATGTATGTTTTATTCAGGAAATGTTGGAGAATAAAATATGGTTGTTTGTTTAGTTAAACAATCAACAACAAAAAAAATATTTGGGGCTTGGTTTGGGGTCATGTGACCTAAAGAAAACCCTCCTCTGATATTATCCAGTGTAAGGCAGAGAAAGGACCGACAGATTAATAAGGCTATAGGTAGTGGGAATAACTCACACATGCATACTGCAAATAAGTATATGCAGGAACGCATACCACACACATGCACACACTCAAAAAAAAAATCCCGATACCAGCCTGAGTCAGTGAGAAAGTGAATGAGGAAGAATGTGTCTTCATTTCGTCGTGCATTGGCCACTCCCTGTCTCCTTACGGCGCAGAAAAAAAATCTTCCGAGCCACAGATGCATTTTGATGTGCCTCGTCTACCTCTCAAGGGACCCGCGGCGTGTTTTTTTAACCTTTGTGATCTTTACGTGACCTCTGCTGCCACTGTTCATGGGTGTATAGGCCTCCTGAGGACATGGATGGTAACCAATCTTACAACAATTACAGTGGCAAGGTAGACAACAATTCAGAATATGATAAGGATCTGGTGTATCTTTGTGAGTCCGAGTACCGAGGTTCTGCCAGCTCTGCGACAGCGGCTTGCTACGCCATCATCTTCTGCCTCAGCCTCACTGGGAACCTGGTGGTCCTCTGTGCCCTCATCAGGTTCGAGGACCTGAAGAAGGTCACCAACCTGTTTGTCCTGAACCTGGCTGTGTCGGACCTTGTGTTTGCGGTCTCGCTCCCATTCTGGATCACGGACCACCTCCACAGCTGGGTCTTTGGGAATTTCCTGTGCAAGCTGGTGAGCGGTTTGTACTTCATCAGTATCTACAGCAGCCTTATGTTTCTGGTGGCCATGACTGTTGACCGCTATATCATAATAGTGCAGATGCCGCTGGCCCGGCATCCGAAACGCCTGCTGGGGTCTCGGGTGGTCTGCGCCGTGATCTGGGTCATCAGTATCTCAGCCTCTGTGAGGGAGATGGTTCTCTCCAGGAACTTGCCTGATCAATATACCTGCGACGTTGGAGACCAGAATTCCCAGGAGGTCTATATTAATCACGGTCTTCATATTTGTTTTTTATTCCTCTTGCCTCTGATTGTCATTGTTTTCTGCTACTCCCGGATTCTGAAGACTGTGCTATCTTCCAGGACCAAGAACAAGCACAGAACAGTGGCTCTCATATTTGTAATTGTGCTGACGTTCTTCATTTGCCGGGCTCCGTACAACGTGATGATTGTTTTCATGCTGAGAATCGACGAAAGAGACTGTGACACACAGAAGAGGCAAAATGTGGCATTTGCCATCGTCCGTACCCTGGCATATTTTCACTGCTGTCTCAATCCTCTGCTGTACACGTTTGGAGAGAAGTGTAGGGCTCATATACGCAGACTGTTTTGCAGTCTTCCTCAGGAAAGGTATAACAGTGTCAATTATCATGCTGCTCATAGCTCAATTGTCATTGACAAAGCAGTTGTGATTAATGGAAAAGCATCAGCTGAATAAGTTCAGCAGATCTCAGCCTAAATGTTTTTGAATCGTTTGAACCTCAGCTGTGGTTTTACTAATATTAATATCTATTTTATCTATTATTTTATTTGCACAAAGTATATATTTTATAAAAGTGTATGTTGTTTGATCTGTATTATAGTTAGTTAAATTATTCAAAATATTTGGCATGCATTATTTTATACTGTCAGTTTTACGCTCATTTTGTCCCAAAATGGAGAAATGTCATCGATACCATGTGTACAATTAGCATAATATATAAATGCAAAGTAAAGAAAATAAAGAAAAAATAAAATAAATTTGTGTCTCTTTCACTTCCTGTGCAGGGAAGAGGCGTTTGCACTTGTCACAGCAAAAGCTGTGAACGGCTCTAAAAGTTTGCATCCGCTCAAATAAAGACACCACCTTATACCATTTGCGGCACTTGTGTGGTCACTAAGAATTTTTAGCAGCATGATGGGTTGGGCTGTTCTCCCTGCTCATGCAGACAGACATCACACCTCAGCATCAGGCTCCTCTGGTTATGACTCCCAGATCTTTTGCTAACAAACAGCTGTTTCTCTGATGCCAATCTCTGACTCATTTACTCAAGGTAAGACGTTCTGTTGATTCTATTGCTTTTTTCAATGAGTACCTTCATTGTCACGGTATTTGATTTTAAATATGGTATTTTGGGTGAGTAGGTCAGGCTTGTTTTTTTTATCTTCATCTATAGTACAAAAGTTAATACATAATTGTATATATACTTTATTATTAAATGCGTAGATAACAATGTAAAATTGTTTCGATTTAAATTGAAGTTTGAAGAAACATTGTTACTGTGTATTATCTCTGTTACGATCAATCACTAATAACAATTGCATTACTGCAGAAATATGAGCCCCACCGAGAAAATCCTGTGGAATACCACACCATCAATTGGAATAAGTACCCCAGATTATTATTATGATTATGGAAATGACAGTTTAATATTTCTGGATGATGACGATTCTGTGCGCTTTGGGGGACTGTTTTCTGGTGTCTTCTACTGCGTGATATTCACCTTGAGCCTGGCTGGGAACAGTCTCCTCTTCTGGACTCTGCTGAAGTTCGAGAACCTCCAAAGAGCGCCCAACATGTTTCTGATGAACCTGACCGTGTCCGACCTGATCTTCACCATCCCCCTCCCCTTCTGGGCCGTGTACCAGCTGCACGAGTGGGTGTTTGGGGAGGTGGCCTGCAGGGTCTTCAGCGTGCTCTTTTTCATTGGCTTTTACAGCTATATGGCCTTTCTGGTCATAATGGCTGTGGACCGCTACACGGCGGTCGTGCGCGACGTGATGTCCTGGAAGGTGCGGCAGCGAAATAAGCTCCGCGCCGTATGCATCGGCGTCTGGATCCTCTGTATCACCGCCAGCCTCCCGGAGGCGCTGCTCTCCGAGGCGAGATCCAGCACCAACGGCACCCTGTGCGAGTCAGTGGAGCGTCATCACACCCTGCGGCTGTTCATGTACTACATGCACATAATCGTGTTCTTCCTCGTCCCCTTCGCCGTCATTCTTTACTGCTACGTGAGAATCTGGACACGCATCTGGAAGTGCAAATCGAAGAAAAAACAACAAGCTATAAAGCTCATACTTGGCATCATAATAGGATTTTTTATATGCTGGGCTCCGTACAATATTGTTCTCCTCGTCAAATCCCTGCACTTACAGGATACTGCAAGCCAGGCGAACAAAAGCCTTAATTACTCATACTATGTTTGCCACTGTCTGGCCTACAGCCACTGCTGTCTCAACCCATTCCTCCACATCTTTGGCAGTGAGAAGTTCAGGGGACAGGTTTACCTGATATGTGACTCCACACGTCACCTGCAATCGAGTCAGAGTTTCACCTCACAGAATGCAAGCATAAGGACGTCCGTGTCCAGACAGACATACGTGTGACAGCCTGGAAAGGCTGCTTACTCTCTCAGCCGATCAGCCGCTTGCAGGCACGCAGCTGATAGGTTTTTGATTTACTGTGGAACATAAGTATGCGACAGTCAGGCATAAGAGTAACAGTTTTTTTCTGACCAGCTTACAGTCACTAGTTATGTAAATGTTCTTATTTTTGTATGTAGCGTAATTTTTTTGCATTAAACCTCTTTGTTGCAAATGAACAGTGGTTTCTTTACTATTTGGGAACGTTCGACACATCATGCAATGTTACTAAATTAAGTAGTGTCCCCTTAAATATCAGGCTGTCCCCTATGCAGTTGTCCCTACCCATGGGCGTAAATTAATCAAATAAATCAAAACCAGCTAAGACAACCCCCCCCCTCAATGTTCCGGCCAAAGTTACGCCCTTGTCCCTACTAATACTGAAACCAAACTTAGACCCTTGCGCAGTCGTACTTTAAATCCTTAGGAAATAGTCTTGATAAGTGTTGCTGGAAAAAGCGCAAAGGAATTCATTTATTCTCGCCTTGTGCTGTAACCCCCACTGAGCTCTTTTTTGCTCTATAGATCGTCCTGAAACGTGAAGTTGTTCCCATCCTGTAGTCCTGATTAACAAAAAACAAACAAAACAAAAAAAAGATGAACGTGAAAACGGAAACATTTCTTTCCATACTGTATGTTTTACATTTTACGGTAATTTAAGGGAAAACTGCTCGCATAAACCGAAACAGTCAGCAGCGTGAGGAAGTTAATGTGTAAGAACAAGACCGAAATTACGCAAAAAAAAGTCATGCGTGTCTTTAAATATGATCTTCCCTTTCTTTGAACTAGTCCTGTAATACCGAAATTAGTTTGAGAAAATATATACAGAACTTGTAAAAAAAATGCATCTTGTGTGTTTAATATTAACACTGTGATATAAGTACATTTGCACAGTTACTTTGTTTAATTCATGTAATTTGCCATTGAGTGCTTGCACAATCGCACTGAAATGTGACTTGGGATCTAGTTTGTCTGTCTAAACCCGTAGACAGTCCACTTGTCTGCATATGAAGGTAGCGGGTAAGAGGGCGCAGCAATACCGGGTCATTAGCATGAGACGTGGTCAGGACCGTAATACAAAGCAGGTGTAAGCAACTGACGGCTCAGGGTTTAATACAGTAGGCCGGTGGTTTCAATTCCACTTTTGTTGTGTGTGTGTGTGTGTGTGGCATAGGGGGAGTTTGGGGGCAGCCTGAGTCGAAATTGCTAGTAATTGACAAACGCGGCATTGCACACGTTTTGCACTGGCACTTTGCACCTTTGTATAAGCGGCTTCTTGGTGCCCTATAGGTAGACAAAATAATAGGTTATTTATGCATCAGATACGTACAGAGCCTTTGCAAAGAAATAAAACGCTCTTATACTTTCGAGTGCGCACCCGGGTCTCCGTAGTTACGTGCGTTAACGCATAAGGTAAGCAAGATGCAGGCTTTTTACGCCCCCGCCCCCCAAGCGCAAATATCAACCTCCGCTTATGGTGTGTGGGCGGAGTTTGCGTGTTTTCCCCGTTTCGTGCGAGTTTATTCCCTGGACTCCGGTTTCCTCCCGGCATCCTTTACGGGGTGTACTAAGCCTTGTGTTCTGTGCGGCCATGGAATAGACTCCAGACCCCCCTTCCCACGCAATCCAGAACGCACGGAGACGATTATAAGTTATAAATAATAATAATAATAATAAACAATAATAATAATAATAATAAATATTTACTAATAAAACTGAGATGCAATATATTCTGATTTCCCCTTACATACATAAAGGATTTCTAATACCAGTCTATGAAACCATACCAATCCGAAAAAAAATATGAGGCTTACGCTTGAATAAGCAGCGACACTCCCAATTCCAATAGTCTGCACCTACATAGCTGTGTTAAGCTTATTTTTCTTGGGGGAAACTCTCAATTTGTATCGCAAGGTATTTCTGGCCGTGTATAGCGCTGTATTTACCGGCATAGAGGCCGGGTGTGTAATGCTCTGCCCTCTCTGCTCCTGCTCTGATGTCCACCGTCCAGAACCTCCGATCTTTCGGTAACTGTCGTCTCTGCACGACCCACCGATCTAGTGCTGACTGCCTGCAACCGCATTTTTCACCTCGGCTGTTGTCACCGCAGTGGCAGCGCAATATTGTAGGGTTTTCGGTTCGACCATAACGCGTGACCCTCTAACATTGTCCCATAAGAGAGGTATGTAAGATAACCCCCCCCATTTTTAACTGGGTGTCCTGGCTGCACCAACCCATTAGCAGATCCCTAAATCAAGAAAAGGCGTGTTCTGGCCTCAGATGGTGCGCTTCACTGTTTCCCTGGCCGCAGGTATACGCAGCTACCTGCTGTGTGATTGGGTTACGCTTTATTTTTATTTTAAGGCCACCGTACGTGTGATCAACGCGTCATTGCGTAGCGGAGAGAATATTAAAATGACCCCGGCTGCATGATTTGCATGGAGCAAAAAGCGGACAGATGGAAATCTGAGCAGCCCTTAACACAAACGCTACCTGCATAACTTAAAATTAAGTTACCGAAAGCTAATAAGCATAACTAGGCTAATTGTATCAAACAAGGAGCTTAAACGTGGAAGTAAACTGTACAGCTGGGTATCACACTGATAGTTTAGCTATCAGTCTTTGCCTGGGTGATTAACACCTTTAATGTCTGGAGTTTATTATACGTGGACCTCGAAATAATCATTGTCACGTACATTCTCCATTGATTATATTTTGTAGGCGTCCCATAAAAGAAAAACATCCGATTGGATGTAAACTGCAGAGGCTTGTTTGTCCCCGGAGAGAGACTCCTGATTTCAAGCCATTTATAGTTTCTATTACAATTTTTGGCTCATGAGATTTGGCACATAGGCGTGTAGTTGGTTACAAGTGTAAAATGGACTAAATCATGTGGAAGGAATGTTGTGGGAAAACTTGCATTTCACAGTTATGCGATGGTACACTGAATGATCATTATTACCTATTTACAAGGGTTTCGAGATCACGCTGTCACGATCCACTGCTAACAACTATCTATCCGACATATTACGTAATTAACGCCGTGTTTAGTACGATACTGAGATGACGTTTATGAAACAGTTTGAAATGGACACCACGGTTTTCCCGGTGACGTATAACAGGTTTTACTCGGTAGTGTAAGTGCACATTTTCGCTTAGGGTCTGTGGCCTGTCACTGGTTCGGGATGGAGGGAGTTCTTAAGTGGAATATATCCTCCTGAGACCCAAGGAAAAAAGTGTCCTTCAATTGTAGGTTATTTGTCTTTGGAGGAAATAAGACATCTATACAATTTAGATTTTTTCAAATTTATTCTTATTTTAATTTCACAGCATGTCCTCTTTAGTGCACAAGAATAAATACGTTTCCCAACATCAGTGAAAAAATAAATGCAAAAATACAATGTCCACTACAATGGACATAAATTAATAGGTCGGGTCTCAGGAGGATATGGGAGAATATAGTTGAGGCAGTTGTAAGATGATTTTGAATCTCTGCGACAGACATTTAGAGTTACCCCATTTTTTCCCCATTTAGGGAACCTGTTTTGAGTGGTGCCACAGGTCGGTGTCGATTTGTTGTGTCGCGCTGCAGCATGATGAGCGACGGTCGTCCATCCGGCTTCCACGTCAGGGGTCGCGGTTGATGTAACTGCGCACTCTTTCGTGTCTTCGGCGAATGGAAAACGAACCGCAGGGACCCGAGAAATGCAGACGCGTTAACGCGTGGAACCTGTTAACTGTGTGGTTAACGACACATCTCTGAAAAACCAGCTAACAATAACCTGCAAAAATAGCAGTACTCAGTATAGGATGTGAAGAACATTCATGCAGTGCTTCCACTGCATTTCGTGTCTGAAATGAAAATGAGAATTATAAGCTGTGCGTGGTTAAAAAGTAACATACCCTCTAGTTTACATGTTTTGGTGCTAGACTAATGTTTCCTTAAGCACCTTAAAGTGTGATCTTATGCTGTTTTCCGTGGGGGTGTGTTTTGGACAGAAATGTGCTTGCAATGGGGCAGTGATTGAACATCCGGAGTACGGAAAAGTGATCCAGCTCCAGGGAGGGGAGAAGAGGAACATTGGCCAATTCCTCGTGGAGGTACGGCGTGTTTTTCTGGATACACAATGGATTCTTTCCAAAAAAATTTATACACTGAGGCAGGGAATCACTTTGCTGAAGCCGTTCGATTTATATTTGCGAGGAAATTAATCGCTTTGTAGCTTACAAATGCCCAAGCTTCTCAGGTGGAAACATAAGACATTATAAAACTACCGTTCGCTGCTGATGAGTTTACTCTGATGAAGTTCGGAGGGGCGTTACTTCAAATTGAAGATGAATTATCTGTTTCCTTGATATTGTTTTGTTCTTTCACAAATGATGACAGACAAGCGGCCAGATCACTTAAGTGCGCAAAGCTGGGAGTTGTGACAGCTTCTTATCGTTACAGATCGGCATCTTTGAGGAGGAGCAGTTGGAAGATCACGGATGCTGAGGTCATGACAGCATCCAAGAAGCCACAAAGAGCCAGGCTTTGGTCACATCCCAGAGATGCAGTGCTGCTGAATAAAACAAATGATTGTGTATAAAACTGATTTAACATGTTTCTAAGTTGAATTTAATGGAGGAAAGTGATGTCATTCAGCACGATGGCCAATCACATCTTTGTTTTGGGTCACTCTGGTGTAAAGAGGCAATGAACTGCTTTTCTTGAATCCATACATCTTAAAACTCCTGAGCTTGCATCAACTCCCAAGCACAGATTGAACAGCTGGGCCTGTACTTGTAAATGTCAGTCACATGTCTCATCTGACGCGATGGCAGAATGTCCCATGATCTTTTCTGTTGTCATCGTCAGCAGCAATCACTCTATTCCATTGCTGCTAGAAGGTCCACGCTAAGCTATGCTAACAAAAGCACCCTCCTTTGGTGTAGTTTCATCGTGATCTATGCAGGTCCAGCAGTTCTGGTGGATTTGGGTTGTAGATGTGTTTGTGGTTTGGCACAAAAATGGTTGCCAGGGATCTTGCCGACAGTTGTGACAAGCACCCGTCCTGCTATTGAGGTATCCGAACATTTAATGTGAGAAAACATGTCTTTTGGGAATGGAGATTTGAGAATGGAAACGCTTGTCACCTATTGAGCTTGAGCAAAGTGCGGCCCTTTCTGG